TCTTTGTGGAAAATCATATTTACAGTGCTTTTAGAATGTGTATTACTTAAATACATGTTTAAGACTATTTTAAAAGGTAGATTATTGGCCCAATAGAGCATAAAAGCTCCCGCAGAGCTGCTGCAGTCCAGAGCATGTATTTCTATTTTGGGACTCTTTAAATGCTTGTATTTATCAACTCAATTGTTAGGTTCAGAGCTATCTGGTAAGGATAGGCTATAAAAATAAAATAGCCACTGCAAGTGTATGTGTGAGAGAGAAAGGGAGGCTGGCAAAGCCTGGTGACTTCAGGTGGGGGAAGTTACCCAGGATTTCTCTGTGGGGATTAAGGAAAGCACTGTGTTCATGGAGCACTGTCTGTCCTGTTTAATGCTAAAAAGCTCCTACTGGCATCCACCAGTGCTGACAGAGACTTCCCTTTCCTGACCAGACTTCCCCAGTATAAAACCACCCACAGGGAGGACAGGTTGGTGTCTAAAATCTCTGGGAAGAGTCTCCATCTGAGCACACACAAACAGGTTGCCCAGGGAAGCTGTGGCTGCCCCATCCCTGGCAGTGTTGAAGGGCAGGTTGGATGGGGCTTGGAGCAGCCTGGGCTGGTGGGAGGTGTCCCTGCCCATGCAGGGGGTTGGATCTAGATGATCTTTAAGGTCCCTTCCAATCCAAACCATTCTATGATTCTACCATCATTTAGAAAGGCACTGATCAAACACAAGACAGAAGATATCACAAAACTTTGCTGTTCCTGGGAGGTTTTGCTGCAGCACATTCAGAAGCTCAAAGCTGGATTTTCTGAAAGTGATACAGGCTACCAAGGAGGCATTAAGCTCCTGGTGGGGCCTTGAACCTTGAGCAGAGACACATATCTCCAGTCCTTCTAGCTGTTGTGTCTCTGTTTTCTTCCTTCAGTGTGGGAATGCCCTTGATTCTTGACCCTCTTGCTTCTTACAAGCCTTATTTCCAGGGAAGAGTAAATAAACTTTCACAAATGTGTAATCAGAATTCAAAAAAATAGATTTCATCTCTTTCAAAGACCTGACCATCTTCATTCAGGTCATGTACAACCTTAGAGCAGCACAGTGTGAATGGATGTCTAGAAAAATAGATGAACTTGGTGTTTCTGTGATAGTGCATCAGCTGTTTGTCAACCTTGTGTATTTAAGGTTACAAGCCCTAAAATATCACTGTCCTCTGTCCCTTGCAATACACTTGGGCAGAATGAGTGACTCACAGATGTTCTAGTGCTTTATGATTGTAGTCTCACCCTTCATCTTTGAATCTGGCCACTATGGGATGTAATTAACAAGATTCTAGAGTTGTTTTTGCTGGCATTTACACAATCTGCTCCTCAGCCACGTCACAGGCTGCTAGAAGGGTCTGATACCCCTTTGGGGAACACAAGTCCTACAGGTAGCACATGTGCTGGAGTATTTCTACAGCTTCTAGAAGCTGGGATCAAATTTCAGACGGGGGCAAAATCTTTTCCAAGTGACATTTTGAAGTATTGATCACTGCTGCAACCCAGAGCTGTGCTGTGTTAAACCTGTGGCTGGGGATGCAGGTAACCCCAGAGAAAATACTCATAAGAAGCTGGTGGCTTGAAGCTTTTGCTTTTCCCATCTCCAAAGGCCCCAAGCCCTTGTCACTGAAGCCTCAGGTGTCCCTAGAACAGGTAGTTCCCTTGCTGAAGCTGTGCACATGCTTTCACACCAAGGGTATATTTCTTACCAATACAGACTGCTTAGAGGATTTCCATGTCTGTGGCGTCACCTTTGTAGACTGATGTCTCACTATTGAAGGATAAGCTGTGACAACATAAAACAGCCTGTTATAGATCAGTCCCTGCCACCATCCCCATCTCCCCTTGCAGCCTCAGGATGAGTAGCAGGACTGGAAGTGCCACGTCATTAGTATTGCATGACTTGACATTGCAATGCAGCCATCTCTGGGGTGGGACACAGCAGCCATCAGACAGATGCCTAGTCCACCACCCAATCAGTTAGGAAAAGGGAGTAAAGAAGGTCTGGCTAATTAAAACGTCTGAGGAATGCAGAGAGGTGGAATGCAATCAGTGCAATTCAATTTTAGGCCAGGTCCCGAACTAAACATTCTGACTCTTGCAAAGAACCCTACGGGCTGTTTAATTAGTGCAAAGAGCCCAGGGCTGGGTTTCCATGTCAGAAATTAATGACAGCACTGCTGGCAGTGTGATAAGCCCTAACCTCCCTTCCACCACACCAGCTCAGTTCTGATTCAACAATAACACTCCCAGCTCACAACCCCTTCCAGTGCCACCAGGCAATCCTCCCCATCTCCCAATTAATTAGACCTGGCTCTGCTTGGCAGGTGCTGATGCTCTTGGATTCCACCTCTGGTGCCCTTGAGCTAGTGGGTAGTGAGAAGAGGATTATGAGACAGTGAATGGGGGGATTCTGGGTCAGAAGGAGGAGGACAGGCAGCTAGGGCATACATATTTTGTAAGGTTGTGCTCAGTGGCTATTATTCTTTCAGGGCAATAACCATTTTTAAAATGCTGCTGAAGCTAGAGGGGTTGAATGGCCATGAACATAATTTCCTACCATAATTTTCCATCTTTCCCTGCTCCCTACACCTCTAAAATGCTCCAAAATTCTCACGTCTACCTGTTAGAAATGAAATTTAAAGCCCCTTCAACTATTCACTAGATAGAACTTCTTAATAGACTCCTGTTGTCCTTGTTCAGCAAAGTTCCTCATGGAAACGTGTGTGTGTGGGAAAGAAAGTCAGGGTAGGAGATGTGAGCCCAGGTGTAGCACTGTTCCAGGCCTTCTCTGGAGGAATAAGAGGAGGATTAAATGTCTTATCACCTAAAAAGGGGCAGAAGGAAGGGGGAAAACTCAATGCCTAGTACCGGTCTTGGTGAAGAGGCTCCCATCAGACTGTTTGCTGAAGTCACCAGGAGGAGTCTGTCCCACCGAGGAGAACTGAAAAGGCAGCTTAGTACCATTGCCCACTGGAAGACAGAAGAGGGGGTGTTATTCCATGGTGCTGCAGGCTCCAGGGGGGAAGCATTTCAAAACACACTCTGTAAAGCTGCCTTCAGCCAGCCTTGGGGGGGGTTGGGAATGGGAATCAATAGACGTGTCCCTTTTCTCTTAGGAAGAAAAGGCAGGTGGGGGCAGCTGGTTGGGGGGTCCCAGTGCACACAGGGTGTGAGGGAGAAGTGATCCCAGTGCTCCAGGCAGGCAAGGAAGAGCTTTTCTCCTGAGAGGCCCAGGGTGCAGCTGTGACTGAAGAGCAGCAGCTCCTCACAAGCAGCTGCATCTCCAGAGCCTGGAGTAACGAGGCAAAAAAGCTTGATACCTGCCACAGCTCCCTTGCCTCCGAGCAGCTGAGGCTGCTTTATTCCAAGCCCATTGAAATTAAAGCAAGGCTTCCCTTCCTGGCCTCCTTGGGGTCAGGCCCTGGCTGCCAGGATGGAGCTGAGAGCAGAGATGATGAGAGGGAGCCACCCCAAGTTCAGGTGGCCCTGGGTGTCCGTGGGCTGTCCCTGAATGAAAGGCAGGACCCTCTGAGCATGGACGAAGCAGAGGAGGAAAATACAGGCAAGAAAAAGGAAGGATGAGGATCTGGGAAGAAAAGGCATGACTTGCTGCTGCTGCTTCTAGCTCAGAGCACCCCGTTGTGCTGGAGGCTGTGCAGGCAGTGAACATCAGGCAGGCTCCCTCTTGGAGAACCTGTGAGCTGAGAAAAAAAGGTGTTTGTGTGCTAGAGAAGAGCAGCCTTGGGATTCTGAGACTGGCTGAGGGTATTTGGGGTCCACTCCTGGTTCTGCCACAACTTCCCAAGTGCTCTGTGTGCTGGTGGCTGCAGTTGGTTGGTAACCTGGGGTTTTTACAAATTGGCACCTACAGTTTCCATCTTCTTGCACTGTCTGAACAGTGAGGGTCAGGGATGCCTTTCCTTCCTGTGCACACAGCACCTGGAGGCCACCTTGGGTGGATGCAGGCAGTGCTGAGGAGCCAGCTAAGAGCTGGTTCTGTGAGACAGTGACTGGCAGGTGACAGGACAGCCAAGATGGGAAGCAGAACAGGTTGGTTAGCCAGCTAGAAAGCTGTGGCACGGGGGGTTAGATCCTTTCAAACTGAAGTCAGAATTACCCGTACCAAGTGTTTCCTCAGTCGCTTGGAAGGAGGAAAATTCCCATGATCGTGGGTTGAAATTGGCTGTAAAACAAGAGCATCCAGTTCAGCAGTTGGCTCCTGAGGAGCTGGCTCCAAGGCCTGGGCCTGGCATTGCTCTATGGTGCAGTCCCCACCAATTTGGAAGCAGCCCCAAAACAGAAATCTGGGTCCAGGGAAGAGAGGAGAGCCTGGTCTTTATTCTCTGGGTTCTAGGGAATGGTGAAGACTCCTCCTTTAGAGAACAAAGCACTTTTTCCTGCCACAGAACTGTCTTTAGCTGCCTTAAATTGCCAGCTGGGGTTTGCCTGCTCAACATGAGTGTTCTGCAGAGAGCCCTGCAGGCAGAGGGTTGGGTTTGGAGCTGCAGAGGCAGGAGCAGAGGAGCATTTCCTGCTCAAGCACACCTTGTCTCAGCCCCTGGGACAGGCATGTCCTGCAGGGCTTCACTAGGACACCATGCAGGGATGCAGGCTGGTGCTGTTTTACCCCTTTTGTGAGACATTGGCCTCCCAGGAGAGTGGGAAAGAGACGAATACTTGGAGCTGTTATGCTGCCATCCTGTGGACTGCTTTAGTGTTCCTATTTCAGCAGTTCTCTCTCCCTCTCTGTGTGCTGAGTCCCTTCTACTTCTCATTCAAAGGCTTCCAAAGATGATCTTCCCAATCTCCTCCTGGCTTTGGCTAAACTGTTTGCAACATCAGGAGAAGAAAGCTCAGTGGTAGAGGATAGAAAGGAGTGTGGAACAGTTTAACAGATTGCTCCTCTACCTTTTAGGCAGTGTTTGGGACTGGTATCTCCCCAGTATCAGCAGCTCTGCTCAGGAGAACATGTGTGAGTGCCTGAGAGCAACAGGGCCAGTGGAGCCCTGGGGCAGCCTGGGCAGGACAGCAGCTCCAACCATCCAACCAGGCAGCAGGTGGAGGCAGGTTCTGTGCAGAACAAACCCACCACTGGCAAAATGCCCCTCTGCAGCCTCTGCTGAGGAGCTTGACCCCCCTAACTCGGAGGACCTGCAGGAAACAAGCCTGCTAAAGGCTTGGTGATGCTGAACTGGGAATGTCCCAGGAGAATGTTCTGCCCCTGGTCACTGATCCAGATGGCACCTCCAAGGAGAAACACTGGAAACCCAGACATCTGGGATGTCCTCACGAAACCAGGCAACGTGGCACTTCAAATCCTCCTTCTGGGCAGTGCCCCTGCTGGCCCAGCCCTCACCCTGCCCAGCACCTGGCTGTGCAGAGCAGCAGCTGGAAACACCTGGCAGAGCCAGGCAGGGCCTCCCTCTCTAAGGGCCACAGGGAATTTGGCAACTTCTTTTGTGCTGCCCTTTCTGTTCTGTTGTCCCTACAGGCATTGCCCTCCTTTCAGGCTTTCAGCACTCTCTGCTTTTCACCCTGGAGCTCCTGACACTAATTTTGGAAATAGGCAACTGCCCTTTGACAACTGAGGGTGTTCAAAACTCTCACTCCAAATATGTATATAACAATGTTCTATGTTCCTATAACAATTGAGACACAAGCAAATCAGCAGGGCTCTTGTTGGCAGTGTCAGAGCTCAGAAAGAAACCTCAGACTTCTGCTTTTTCAGGACACATTCCACACCCTTTCCATCCTTTCCCTGTAGGGAAGAAGTGTGTTTTCTGGTGAAAGTCACACCCTAATGCAAAGCAAGCCCAGTGTAGCTTTCCCACTTGATCACACAGTGTGGTAGGCTTCCAGTGGAGAAAGCCACTTAGTTCAACCCAGTAACTCATGTTAAAACTTCCCTGTATGCACTAACTACACACTTGAAAGAGCTCAGTCACTCCAGCTCTCCTCCATGGAGTTGAGAACCTTTTCTGGCTTGTTTGAGATGAAAAAAAGCAAACATTTCCCAAAGCTTTGTAGGCTGGAAGAGAAGACCCAGCATAAACAAACGTAGAGGGACAGATCTTGTCCAGGGCACAGCAGGAAATATGAGGGAAAGGAAATTTTGGGACA